AACAGGAAACAATACGAGACAAACAACTGAGTATGAACTATGGAAAGATTTGAAATTTCAAGCAAAGACTTAGTGTCTTAATGACTTTGTTATTGTTCGAGGTGGAGATCGTTTTCAAATAAAGCTCGAGTTCTTTTTTCAAGACACAAAAGGAAGATCTTATTTTTTAACACTTTACATTTATGGATGTAAAACTTGGTCAGCAACATGATACGACTGGATAGGAACAGTTCATTTTCCAAATCTCTCTGATAGTCTAGAAATCCAAACAGAACATTGTGAAAATGTGATACATAGGTCTCATGGATATGGTCCAATATAAATCTACAGACGCCTTGCCATAGTTTCCGAGTGTGTACACAAGTCCAGAACAAGTGGTTGATAGTTTCTGGGTGCTACTTGCAGAAAGTACAGGATACATCAAAGTCTTTAATGAATCTCCTTAGGATTGTTTCAACAGGATAATAGCGATGGAGGAGTTTGAATGTGACTCCTTTGACTTTGTTTGTAAGCAAGTATCTGTTAGGAAGAGTCCATACTTTTTCCCATGACACGTACTGAACAAGTGGATTCCATTTAGGGAGAACATGTGGTACAGAAACACAATCAGCTAGAAAGAGGGAGCGAATCTGCTTATTTGGCCGTAATCTCGATAGAAAACAAAGTTTCCCTATAAATGTGTCACTTGGATCAGGCAAAGGGGTCATGTTAGATGGTGGGGTGGTACAACTTTTGAAAAGCATGATAACACCAGATGGAACAGCGTCGAAAACAATAGCAAATTCTTTAGGGGTTACAGGAGTTTTATAATGACAAAGAAGTTCTTGATAAGTAAATAAATTTCCTTCCTTATTAAAGATCTTATTGATCTTTATAATGCCATTCCTAAACCAATTGTAAAAGAATAAGGATTTCCTTTTGTAACAGACATCTTTATTTTTTCATATAAGGTGATTATTAGGAGAAAAGTTATGCTTATAAATTAGAGACCAAGCCAATAACATTTGTTTATGAAAATTTGAGAGAGAGACAGGTATACGTTCAATACTGTAGTTGCACATTAAGAGAAATTTTAGTCCACCCAGCTTGGAAAAGATTTGATGGGAAATGATATTCCACATAGACATTGGGTCTTTTAAATAATGTTTAATCCAATTAATTTTGAATCAAATTAAATCAACTTTATTTATATAGCACTTTTCATACAACAAAATGCAACTCAAAGTGCTTTACAGATTAAAATGGCCCCATAGATCCCACATTCCCATCCCAGTCCCCCGTCCCCAAGTATAAAACAATTAAAAATTACAGTTCCCCTCCCACACCCAACTTCCAAAGTGGACATACAATCACCCGCACACTCGTCCATGCACACACACACACACACACACACACACACACACACACACACACACACACACACACACACACACACACACGCACACACGCACACACGCACACACGCACACACACACACACACACACACACACACGTGTGAACACCAGTGGAAACAATAGGCTGAGTTCAGATGGGTCAAGTAATGAACGAGACATCATCAGCGGAGCCATCTGCCCTGACAGTAACAGATCCACGGCAGCAGCCAAGACACCGGCCCATGACGCCCAGTGGCGGAGGGCAGAAACCCCCACCAGTGCCCGGGCACTATACCCGAGGAGCGCCCCGGCCGCCGCCGCCGCTCCTGACCACCGGCCCCAAGGCAGAGGGCTCCGCAGAGGAAACACTGGAGGATTAAAATATATAACATGTAAAATAACAAAAGCTAATATTTATAAAAAGTAACTGATAAAAAGTGATTATAAAGATAGTAAAAGAAAACATAATCATGTAAAAACACTTAGATGTAGATAAAATGATAAAATTAATTAAAAGAGATAAATATGTATATATAGATAAATAGTGATCAGTTAATAGCTAAGCTAAAAAGGTGGGTCTTGAGCCTTTTCTTAAAAGCCTGGACGTTCCCTTCGGCCCTGAGGTCCTCTGGCAGCCCGTTCCAAAGGCGAGGGCCGTAGTACTTGAAGGACGCCTCGCCGTGGGTGTGAGTCTTAACTTTAGGGATAACTAGGAGACGGCTGCCAGAGGAGTGCAGAGACCGCGAGGGTTTATATAATAAAAGCATTTCTGAAAGATATGAAGGCCCAATACCATTAAGACACTTAAAAACCATTAAAAGAACCTTAAAATCGATCCTGAAACATACGGGGAGCCAGTGCAGTGATTTTAAAACCGGAGTGATGTGCTCCCGCTTCCTGGTCTTCATCAGGACACGTGCTGCTGCGTTTTGTAAAAGTTGTAAACCTGAGATGCTCTTTTTGGGAAGACCAGAAAGCAGGGCATTGCAGTAATCAATTCTACTGGTTATAAAAGCATGCACTAGCGTCTCTGCATTGGCCCGAGAGAGAATGGGGCGGACTCTGGCGAATGTGTTATTTAAAATATTAAAATAAAAAAAAGTTGTCCACCATTTTTGTAATTATTCATTAGTACAAATCTTTTTAATATAATGAGTTTTGTTCTTCCAAATAAATTCATAAAGCATCAGATCAATTTCCTTTGTAATTGTTTTATTAACGTCTAAAGAAATAGCAGCGTATGTAAGTCTGGAGATTCCTTCCGCCTTAGAGATTAGTATTCTGCCTTTTAATGAAAGGTCCCTTTGGAGCCACTGGTTAAATTTATTTTTTTTGGTTCTTTCTAATATTGGGGTAAAGTTCAGGTCACCTTTGTCTTTTTGGTTTTTCGTTACAACTATTCTTAGGTACATCACTTCTTCTTAAACTGGAATATTGCAGATGGAAGGTAGCTCACAATTCTTGACTGCCATAAGTTTGCATTTATTTATATTTAAAAAAAGGGCCGAAGCTTTGGAAAAAACCTGAATAACATCAAGAGTGAGGGAAATTTGAGATGAGTCACGTAAGAAAAGGGTCGTGTCAGTTGACTAATAATGATTTCTCTATCTGCAATCGATATGCCTTTTAGGTTGCTCATTTTGATATGAGAGGCCAATAATTGAGTGGCCAGGATAAATACATAAGGACTGATGGGACATCCCTGACATATCCCACGATTTAACTGAAATCTATAGATGTGCCATTCTTTAGTTTAATTGAACTGTTTCCCTTAGCGTAAAAGGTTTTAATTGCTCTGCAAAAGAAATCCCCAAATCCAAATTTCTCTAGTGTTTTGAAGATAAAATTGTGTTTGATGGAGTCAAATGCCTTGCAAAAGTCCAAAAAGAGGATAAAACTTTCATTGGGAATTAGTTCAGGGTAATCTAATATGTCCAGTACGAGTCGAATATTGTTAAAAATGTGCCTGTTCCTCAAAAACCCAGACTGCATCTCATCTATAATATTATCTAACACGTTTTTTAGGCGCTTAGCAAATATAATAGCTAAAATTTTGTAGTCGTTATTGAGGAGAATAATTGGCCGCCAACTGTCAAAAAGTGAGATATCCTTCTTAGGTTTAGGGATCAGGGTTATGAGGCCGGTTAGAGCTGTTGCCTTGCAGCAAGAAGGTCCTGGGTTCGCTTCCTGGCCTGGGATCTTTCTGCATGGAGTTTGCATGTTCTCCCTGTGCATGTGTGGGTTCTCTCCGGGTACTCCGGCTTCCTCCCACAGTCCAAAAACATGACTGTTAGGTTGATTGGTCTGCCTAAATTGTCCCTAGGTGTGTGTGTGTGTGCATGATTGTTTGTCCTGTGTGTCTCTGTGTTGCCCTGCGATGGACTGGATCTCTGTCCAGGGTGTACCCCGCCTGATTGCCCGTTAACCGCTGGAGATAGGCACCAGCCCCCCCCACCCCCCCCCCCACCCCCCCCACCCCCGCGGGTTCAGAAAATGGATTAATGGATGGTTATGAGGCCCTGCGTTAGAGTTGGAGTTTGGAAATGCTCTCATTAAAGATCTCTAATAAACAAAGGAGCTGGCTCTTCAGAGAAGGATACGTAAAATTCAGGAGTGAGTCCATCCATACCAGGAGATTTGTTGTTCTTTAAACTTTTAATTGACTCTAGTATTTCTTTTAAGGTGATTGGACTTTTGCAGAACATTTGATCCGCCGTACTAATTGGAGCAATATCCGTTAAAGAGTCCAAGAAAACGGACAGCACTGTCATCACAATAACGAGAGCTATATAGCTCCTTATAAAAATTGGAACAGAAGTTTGCAATTCGATTAGCATCGGCACATATTTCATTGTCTAGTTTTAGTTGATGAATGGTATTATTTTTGGATTGGGATTTTTCTAGCCTAAAAAAATATGCTGAGTTCTGCTCTCCTTCTTCCAGCCATTGTTTCCTGGACCTTACAAAAGCCCCTTCAGCTCTAGATTGATAGAGTTTATCCAGTTTATTTTGAAATTCAAACAGTTTCTTTTTCTTCAGGGGATAACTTATCTGGACAAATAGATGAAAACTGTGTTATTTTAGAAATCGCATTTTCCTCTTCATAACGTTTGCATTTTGCTACCTCACTACAGTATTTTCTAAAAAAAAATTTCCAGCTTCAAACTTTTGACGTTCCCATTTACTCCCATATACTTTTTCAGCCTGGGCCTCATTCCAAAAAGCTTGTATTAGTTCCTTAACCTTGGCTTTTACTACGCCATGACACAAGATAGAGCTGTTGAGTTTCCAGTATGCATTATGTTGGCGTGTGGTGGAAGAAGGAAGTAAAGAAATGTTAATTTGGATGGTCTTGTGGTCAGTCAAAGGGGTCGAGAGGATGTCAACCTTGACATATTCATCGAGATTATTTGAACACAACATCAGTTCATACGTTTGGTAATGTCCCCTGTTACTCGCTGGTGTATTTTGACTAACCAATCATAAATCATCATAAATCGATACTAGCTTGCGTCATCTTCAATGCAGCTTCACATTCGCTGGCTAGTTCAGTTGCTTAGCAGCGGAAGACGCTTTGGCTCCACCTTACTGGTATGGTGCATTCAGGGCGTGTTTTTTTTATTGGGGTAATCATCACTTTTTGCCAGCAGGACCGAGCGCAATTTGTGGCAGCGGCAGCGCTTGTGGCACTTGCAGTGGCAGCTCTGATACTTCCGGGTGGTGCCACGGCTTTTAGTGGCACCCGCGGCTTTTAGTGGCACTAGCCACGCCCCCTACCACTGCTGCCATTACACTTCCGGGTGGTGCCACGACTTTTAAGAGTAAGGTCTAGCTGCGGACATTGCCCAGGAAAAACGTTTTTCCTGGGCAATGTCCGCAGCTAGGTATTATTGGATTATTGACTTTTAGTGGCACTAGCCACGACCCCCTACCACTGCTGCTCTTGACTTTTAGTGGCACTAGCCACGCCCCCTACCACGGCTTTTAGTGGCACTAGCCACGCCCCCTACCACTGCTGCCATTACACTTCCGACTTTTAGTGGCACTAGCCACGCCCCCTACCACGACTTTTAGTGGCACTAGCCACGCCTCCTACCACTGCTGCCACGGTACCTGCGGCTGTAGTAGTGACCTCAGTAATTGCAGCACTTATTGCATCATCGGCCTCATCATGCCAACGTTTTTATTTTTTACTTTATTAACAAAATCAAAACAAACAAGGCTGTCACCGAAAATATTTGAAATATTTCAAGCGGTTTACAAATGCGTTTCCCAGTCACTTCATGCATATACAGTGTAATGCAATCAGAAGCGTTAATGCATTTATTTTTTCCATCATTTTTGTTGCTCCCCCAGACGAATCCGTGACAGATCTAGTGGAAGATCCACAGACACTTCCGGGTGGAAGACCGGCGGTGGGTCACCGGCCTCCGGTACAGAGTCAGGAAAAGCAGGGGAGCACCAGAGCCAGATGGAGAGCGCCAGAGCAGTTCTCAATTTCTGAAATAATTTATGACAACTGCTACCAATGTGGATTGTGGAATAAAAAGAGATAAACTGTTAGTTTTCTCAATATTGTCATTGCAATCGGGACAGATACCGCCATCTGCCGGCTTAAAATGGTATTGCAGTACATTTTAAACTTTTTTTAAACTATTTCAATCTTCGTTTTCACATACATTCAGTTTACAATGTAACCTACATTCAACGTACTGAAGAATAAAGCAAATAAAAATGACCTCAGTTGAGGAAAATAAAAATTACATTTAGAATTTGCAACAATTACCACATGACACTACACCATAAAATAAATCATGATGCAAAATAATAATAAATTAAAAATGAAATATCATCAACAAACAAAAAATGTTCAGAGGTTAATATTTCAGCATTATATTTCAAACATGTATGATTAATTGGACTGTAATTTAAAGAACAAGAAACTCAGACATTGTTTCGTACTACTCATAAATCCATATGCAAAATACAAAACTTTATTGTTGTGAAACCACAATATCTATTAACAATAAACTACATCCCCAAATCCGTTGTAGTGACAAAACAGCCTTTTCACTCCCAAGTTGTTTAAAATGTACTGCAATACCATTTTAAGCCGGCAGATGGCGGTATCTGTCCCGATTGCAATGACAATATTGAGAAAACTAACAGTTTATCTCTTTTTATTCCACAATCCACATTGGTAGCAGTTGTCATAAATTATTTCAGAAATTGAGAACTGCTCTGGCGCTCTCCATCTGGCTCTGGTGCTCCCCTGCTTTTCCTGACTCTGTACCGGAGGCCGGTGACCCACCGCCGGTCTTCCACCCGGAAGTGTCTGTGGATCTTCCACTAGATCTGTCACGGATTCGTCTGGGGGAGCAACAAAAATGATGGAAAAAATAAATGCATTAACGCTTCTGATTGCATTACACTGTATATGCATGAAGTGACTGGGAAACGCATTTGTAAACCGCTTGAAATATTTCAAATATTTTCGGTGACAGCCTTGTTTGTTTTGATTTTGTTAATAAAGTAAAAAATAAAAACGTTGGCATGATGAGGCCGATGATGCAATAAGTGCTGCAATTACTGAGGTCACTACTACAGCCGCAGGTACCGTGGCAGCAGTGGTAGGAGGCGTGGCTAGTGCCACTAAAAGTCGTGGTAGGGGGCGTGGCTAGTGCCACTAAAAGTCGGAAGTGTAATGGCAGCAGTGGTAGGGGGCGTGGCTAGTGCCACTAACAGGCAAGAGCAGCAGTGGCAGGGGCGTGGCTAGTGCCACTAAAAGCCGCGGGTGCCACTAAAAGCCGTGGCACCACCCGGAAGTATCAGAGCTGCCACTGCAAGTGCCACTCGTGCTGCCGCTGCCACAAATCCCTCCTGCTGTCTCTCCTTTTTGCCCCAGTAAAATAAAAATTATTTACTTAAATAAATATTTGCATTTATAAGGTATTTAAAAAATAATTTTTCATTTGGAGCAAATGTGGTATTACTTCTATAGTTCACTGTTGTGATTTCACTTCAGCTAGGACGGTAAGTTAATCTGAACCCTGAACGCAACATTTTTCTCACTGCGAAATGTAGTAAGAAACGCATTAGAGTAGTTAACTTGCATCACGTTCACGAAAGTTAAATCATTTGCTAATATAAACACCCAATTTACTTTTTATGTTAGTAAGTTACGTTAAATTTCTACCATTGTTTAAAGACACGTAAGCGCAATATTATCTGAACTCGACACGTCAGGTCTGAAATCTCCACAGGGCGTGCTGTCATCTTTTGAGTGTAGAAGAGCGGTCCTGTTCAAATTTCCTCTAGAAAGCTTCAGCTTGTATAATAAACGGAACACAATGGCGTCTGTTATGGTAAGTATGTTTACATGAAAGTATTTTATTTGGGTAAATTTGAAGCCACGCGCACACGAGACAGCTTAGTAAGTTTTCTAGCTGAGTCTGATCTAAGAGGATTTGTTGGAGGGGTTTTAAATCGTGGTGCCTCCGCCGCCTGATAATGACTCTCCAGCTCAGGAATTTCTCTTATGTCTTTATTGATATCACACCCAGTCAGTCACCAAAAGCAGCTCTTTTAGCTTTTATCCCTTCACCTCAGCAGTGTTAAAACCATAGGTTAAAACGTTGGCTGAGTCGAAACGGAACAGCACACTTCGGCTTCTGGTGTTACGTTTAGATGTGTCCCCCTGTCAAACTTGTCCCTACCTGGCTCCCTGCTAAACACATCTGTACATGGTGTTATGAAATTATTGTTTACGGAGTATTTAATAAATATTTATTCTTAGAAATTAACGCGATAATTCAGTCCAAATCTATTTTTGCTGATTTCAGTTTCCAACGTTTTTAAACAGTTTTATTGTCCTGGTATTTTTATATATTATGTATTTTTGCTTTTGTGGATGGATTTTATGTCTTCATTTGTTAAAGTGGTTGTCATAAACATAATGGTGATGAACGTAACTTGAAATGATATTTCATTTCAAACATGAGTGTAAAAAATACACACAAAATACAAGAGCACAAGTTCCATCATGTTGTTCTAAATTCACATACAGCAGTCAGGTAAAAAAACAATAAACAAACTGTCCCCTCTGATTATCTTCAAATTAAATCAAAGGCTCATTACTCCATAGACTTGTCACAAGCTGTTTTCTCTATTTCTCCAAAAGATTATATTATGTATCTTCTCTGCTGTATACATTTGCAATTTCACATGTTACCATTCATGGTTTATTTAATGTTTTCTTCATGTATTTTAGTGTACAGCACTTTGGTCGGCCTTTCAGTTGTTGGAGAGGGCTACGATGATGATAACGATACCAATATGTTCGGACATCTTGAAATGTTGGATGAAAAACATCCTGACACCATTATTGCTAAAGTCTTTATTTGTTCTCAGGTAAATATTTAGAAACACACTTGTATGTTTGTAAGATAACCTGTTTCTGTGCGGGTTTTGTGCTTACAGGAGGATCCCACCTTAGAGAGACACTTTAAGGGACACAGAGACGCTGTCACCTCTGCAGACTTCAGTCCAAACAGCAAATATCTGGGTGATTCTTGGAACTACACTCTCTACAAATACACACTTTACCAGACACATGGGAAGATTCCATTTAAAAAAGAATCAAATTCAGTCATTCATCTTTAGAACATTCTGCAAACGCATCGTCTCACACTATGGATGTGCAGTCACATCAGAGGGAATATATGACGAATGGTCTATATTTGTATAGCACCTTGTTAGGGTTCTGCAACCCCCCAAGGCTCTTTACAACACAATCCCTCATCCATCCATCAGTAACACACACATTCACACGCAGGTGATGATGAGCTACATTGTAGCCACAGCTGCCTGGGTCATGCTGTTGGAAGCAAGACTGCTGAACACTGGCGCCACTGGTCCCTCCAAGCACCACCAGTAGGCAAGGCGGGTTAAGTGTCTTGCCCAAGGACACAACAGCAGCATTCGCTGGCTGGAGCCGAGATCTAACCTACAACCTTTCGATAACTGGACAACCCGCTCTACTTCCTGAGCTACTGCTGCCCACAACTTGGTTCTCGTTGTGTTGGCTGAGTTAAACGGCGTCAGTCCCATTTAAATTTGTGCTGCCCCCACACATCATCATGTTCTTTATAAGTCTCAAGAAGGACTTCCTGCTCCATTGAAACAACATACGTTGTCTTTAGGCTGGACTTTCTTTGTCCCTCTCTAGCCACGGGATCAGCGGATAAGACGCTGATGATCTGGAGTCTGGCTCCCAAAGCGAGAGCCTTTCGTTTAGTCGGACACCAAGATGCCGTCACAGGGGTTCAGTTCTCCCCATCTGGAGCTCTGGTGGCTTCTTCCTCCAAAGACAGAACCGTTCGTCTGTGGACACCTTCCATGTAAGTGGAATGTATTAAACTGCTATGGTGCAGGAGTTATGAGCCGAGTTTTAATTTATTGTTTGTTTTTCTGTCAGGAAAGGAGAGTCAACAGTGTTTAAAGCCCACACAGCTGCTGTACGCAGTGTAGCTTTCTCCTACGATGGCCACCAGCTGGTGACGGCGTCCGATGACAAGTCTGTCAAAGTGTGGAGCGTCCATCGGCAGTGCTTCGTCTACTCTCTGAACCAGCATGCTGACTGGGTTCGCTGTGCCAGGTACCAGCTACACTCCTGTGATGAGGAGCGTTTGTGTTTGACAGATGGTTTAAAACAGTGGTTCCTAACCTGGGGGTCCCGACCCCCACAAGGGGGCGCCAAAGCCTCTCAGTGGGTCGCCAGGACCTCTCCACTTTAAGGGGTTAAAACTTCATTTATTACTTGTTTATAGCCTACATTTTGCTCACATTTTTTTCATGAGTGAAAAGTTTACTGATATTAAGACAGGAAATAATTAGTACAGAAAAAGTAACACACTTTTAAGAACATTTTGCTCAGCTCACTGTTTTATTTTCAAGTGTCAAAAGTTCATTAAAGATAGGACTGGTTGATTAATCACAGCCTTTACAGTAAATAATCTAGTACAGTTGTGATCAGAGGTTTACATACAGTTGTAAAAAATATAATATAATGGCTCTACTGAGTGTCCCGTTATTTCTAAAACTCTGATTTTTCTCTGACAGAGTGATTGAAACAGATACTTCTTTGTCACAAAAAACATTCATGAAGTTTGGTTCTTTAATGTCTTTATTATGGGTTAACAGAGAAAAGTGATCACATTTGCTGGGTCACAAATATACATACAGCAGTGCTAATATTTGGTTACATGTCCCTTAGCCATTTTCACTTCAATCAGGCGCTTTTGGTAGCCATCCACAAGCTTCTGGCAAGCTTCTGGTTGAATCTTTGACCACTCCTCTTGACAGAATTGGTGAAGTTCAGTTAAATTTGATGGCTTTCTGACATGGACTTGTTTCTTCAGCACTGTCCACATGTTTTCAATGGGGTTTAAGTTAGGACTTTGGGAAGGCCATTCTAAAACCCTTATTCTAGCCTGATTTAGCCATTTCTTTACCACTTTTGATGTGTGTTTGGGGTCATTGTCCTGTTGGAACACCCAAATGCGCCCAAGACCCAACCTTCGTGCTGATGATTTTAGGTTATGTTGAAGAATGTGAAGGTAATCCTCCTTCTTCATTATCCCATTTACTCTCTGTAAAGCACCAGTTCTATTGGCAGCAAAACAGCCCCACAGCATAATATTCCCACCACCATGCCTGACTGTAGGCATGGTGTTCTTGGGGTTAAAGGCCTCACCTTTTCTCCTCCAAACATATTGCTGGGCATTGTGGCCAAAAAGCTCGATTTTTGTTTCGTCTGACCACAGAACTTTCCTCCAGAAGGTCTTATCTTTGTCCATGTGATCAGCAGCAAACTTCAGTCGAGCCTTAAGGTGCCGCTTTTGGAGCAAGGGCTTCCTTCTTGCACGGCAGCCTCTCAGTCCATGGAGATGCAAAACATGTTTGACTGTGGACAATGACACCTGTGTTCCAGCAGCTTCTAATTCTTGGCAGATCTGCTTTTTGGTGATTCTTGGTTCACTCTTTACCCTCCTGACCAATTTTCTCTCAGCAGCAGGTGATATCTTGCGTTTTCTTCCTGATCTTGGCAGTGATGAAACAGTGCCATGCACCTTATACTTACAAACAATTGTTTGCACTGTTGCTCTTGGGACCTGCAGCTGCTTTGAAATGGCCCCAAGTGACTTTCCTGACTTGTTCAAGTCAATAATTCGCTTTTTCAGATCCATGCTGAGCTCCTTTGACTTTCCCATTGTAGCGTTTGTGGGCGTTTGTATCCAATGAGCCCTATTTACCTGGCCTAAGAGAAGTCACCAGCTGTAGTCACTCATAATCACTCACACGAAGTTAAGAGGCCATGCTATGAAGCTCAGTTCACTGACACGTTTCTAAGTCACCAAAATTGCTAGTTCATGTTGCTGTATGTATATTTGTGACCCAGCAAATGTGGTCACTTTTCTCTGTTAACCCATAATAAAGACATTAAAGAACCAAACTTCATGAATGTTTTTGTGACAAAGAAGTATCTGTTCCAATCACTCTATCAGAGAAAAATCAGAGTTTTAGAAATAACGGGACACTCAGTAGAGCCATTATATTATATTTTTTACAAGTGTATGTAAACCTCTGACCACAACTGTATAAACAGTAATATACACATTTAAGTACATTTTGCTCAGTGTATTTTTTATGTGTCAAACGTTTATTGAAAGGAATGATTGATTTATCAGTGTTTACAAGAAACAATGTGTTCAGAAAAGTAATACAAACTGTCAAGCACATTATGCTCTGTTTGGTTTTGTTAATGACTTTGTTCTGTACTGGAGCCTACTATTACTGTTATCTATTGAATCAAAGCATATTAAAATGTGCTTGAATAATTTTATCATTTCTTAATCATGTTTGTACTGGAAGAGAGAATGGGAGGGGGTCGTCAAAAATTTTACTGGTAAAAAACGGGGTCCCTTGGGAAAAAGGTTGGGAACCACTGGTTTAAAAGAAGTCTTTGCCCTGCGAGTCAGAAATCCTCCAAGTACTAAAACGTCCGTCTCCTGTTACTCAACATAAAACACTGAATGCATTTAACCTTTTAGTCAGTGCTGCTTGTAATTATATGTTGTGTTTTTATCCAGGTTTTCTCCAGATGGAAGACTCATCGCTTCCTGTGGGGACGACAAGTCTGTCCGCCTTTGGGACACGGCCACCAAACACTGCATCAACTGCTTCACTGAATGTGGAAGGTAATGGTTCCTACGGAGACAAAGGTTTCCTTCCTTTTCTCTTCATTTGCTAACAGATCGGTATTTTTGTGTGCATGCACACAGTCACCTGATGGTTCTTGTCTTCTAACTTTACCTTTACATGTAGAACATGTGGTCAGCTGGTGTTCAGTTTATAAACATAAGCAATGTTTATGTTCAGCTTTGGGACACAGTCCAAATGTGTTCTTTTTGTTAATAAACAGCTTTTATGTTTATAAACGCATTTCTTAATACATTTTAAAATCAATTGTTTTATGAACACCATCTAGGTCTTGCATGGTCCCCTGCCAGGCCAAGCGTGCACACCCCTACGCCCTCCTCTGCTGTCATGGGCGACGGACAATAGTGTACCGATCCGTAACCCCACCGCGCCCTCTCACCCTCCGTTGGGCTTAGCAAGTCTTATGTTTATAAACAGACATGGGCACGTTCTTTAACATGGTGTGTACATATCCTGGATGTGTGTGACTTTCATTTATTGTTGTTTTTACCAAAGACCAAGAAAGGGCATTCACAAACGCCAACAGTTTTTTAAAACAGCATTTATAAAGCTGTCTAGCGATATTTAGACATCTGTTTGCAGGGAAATTAAGTCAAACACTACGATCTGATTAGATAAATCCTGCACTTTTCATCCACTTCATGCAACAAGAATAACTTCTATATATTTACAGTGTAGTGTAGTCTGCTAATCTGTACGTGAAGACAGAGAGAATAATGCAACTGAGACTCTGTACTTCACCCTAAATGACTCAGATCAATATTGATGACAAAAAGTCTTGAACAGGAAATCCTTAATTGTGTAGAAATTGAAGCGCTAGCCACTTTCAGGTGACTGACTCTCTTAATTTTGTTTTAGCTCTGCTACGTTTGTTAATTTCAACTCCAGTGGCACCTGCATCGCATCCTCAGGATCTGACAGTTCACTGAAGATCTGGGATCTCCGGACCAACAAACTCATTCAGCACTATCAAGGTGGACACTCACCGCTAAAATGATTTGATTAAAGGTGTGGTTCATTGAAAACAATTTATAAATTATTATTTCTGAGTTATTCATGCAGTCTGAACATGAAAATAGTCTCTTACATCTATGTCCTGCAGTAGCTTCTGATAGAAAACTGACGGTGAAACTCTGGGATTAGAAAATCCTGACAGATCTACGTCACTCTGTCACTAACATTCATGGACTCGCCCATCTGGACTCATGACGGGCACGGCTGTTGTCGGTTTAGCGTCCAGGAAACAGCAGAGAACGTCTCAGCTAGAAGCTAACCATTAGCATTAGCAGCTCCAGCAAACAGCAGAACTCCACCAGGCTTGTGTTATTTGTGGAGATAAAACACCAACTTCTAAAGCTAACAGAATCAGTGGTGGAGCCACGGTGTTGATATCCAATCATGTCCAAATATCAGGAAATAGGACTCCGATTTCTGCCGTCTGAGTCTACTTTCTCCTTCAGCTGACTGGGTACCGCCTCAAACAGGCGCATCTGAGCTTCTCCCCAGAGTGCGATTTACAAGGCATTCATTCCTACTAGAGACCACTGCAAATGTATTGATTAAACAAGTGAATCACGCCTTTAATATCCTGAAATATTCAGTTTCCCTGTTACCGTAGTTCCTAAATCTCAGGGATTTGGGCTTCATTGTGCTTGTTTAAACTGGAACATTTCTTTGTGCTTGAATTGTGTTTTAGGTGTTTTTATCTTTTCGTGTACATCTTAGTTCACAGTTCTGGGATCAATAGTTTTTCCTTCCACCCATCCAACAACTACTTAATCAGCTGTTCCAGCGACAGCACCATCAAGATCATGGAGCTGTTAGAGGGACGCCTCATCTATACTCTCCATGGTCACAAGGTGAGCTGCCACACAGTCACACATCAGACAGGCTCAGGCCGCCGTTGGCAGTCTGACAACAGTGGATGTCTTAGGTTTGCATTATTAACACAGTTCTCTTTGTGTTTTAGGGAGCTGTGATCACAGTGGCCTTCTCCAGGGCTGGAGATCTGTTTTCCTCAGGTGGAGCTGACCGTCAGGTTGGTGCTTTATGACTTCATAGGGACTGTTTTCCCTTTAATGCATATGACCCTGCTCAGACTTTAGTCATTTATAACACAAGAGATCCTCAGGACGTTTTCTTTCACTTTCACCAGAGCTCATATTTGCTGGAGGATATTTTAATTTAGAAAAAACTTCCTCTGTAAAGGTCAACTTTACTCAGATTTTGATAGATTTGCAGTAGTCTCTAGTAGGAAACGAATGCTTTATAGGTCGATTTCTGGGAAACAAAAGCTCTGGTGCACCCGTTTGAGGACGTAGAGGTCAGCTGGAGAGTAGCCGATCACGACAGGAGTTGTTTTTATTTTCTGATGTTTGGACATCTCTCTTCTGATTGGATGACAGCAACACGACTCTGTCACAGACTCTGTTTGCTCTGCAACGTTGATATTTTATATCCACAAATAACACAAGCCTGGAGGAGTTCTGCTGTGTGTTGAAGTTTCTAATGCTAATGGTTAGCTTCTACTAGCAAAGAAGTTCTCTGCTGTTTCCTGAACGTTGGACAATCAACAGCCTTCCCTGCTGTGAGTCAACATGGGTGACCCAGGGGGTATTCCAGAAAACAAGTTTAGAACATCGGGGATCTCCTGATAAATCCCTGCTTGACAAAGAGCTCCCCTCCCCTCCTGGTTTCGCCGGCTCCACGAACGATTCTCAGGTGGATTCAATCCCCTCTAATCCAAGCGAGGAGCGGGAAGTGAAGCTCTCGTGTGTCTATAAGCAGCCCCTGTTAGTTGATGCTAGATAAATGAGAATGGAAGGAACGGACAGAGCCTCGTTCTTCATCCAGACATAGCAATGCTTATTCATTCATGCCTACGAGGACTACAAAGATATCAAAACTAAAAAAGAGACTGTCAGCTGTTTGATTAAAGCCGTGTAGCTGACCCTATTTAGTTAGAATGTGCAGTTTACATGGCGATGCCGGAAGTCCGCTTCAGCTCTTGTTTCTCCACATATTTTATTAAAGTTTTCTTCATTTATATGTCGTTTTCATGTTCTGCTCCAGAGTCTGGATGGTTTTAGACTCGAGGACTCTGTTTTCGCCGAGCAGCTGTGAGATTTAAGATTATATGTTCGTGGAGGTCATGTGACCCTAAAGTTAACGCTGTAAATCGTTTGTCACAAATGTACATTTAACACGTATATTGCACACCGAGGAAAACACATCTTGATACGGGGATGTTGCGCATGTGCTGTCTGAATCAGCTAGTGTGTGCGGGGCAGCTCAAAGAAAGCAGATAGGCTCGTCTGTCTCCCCTCTCGCTTCTGCATGTGTATTTGATCAGGAAATGGGTAAATGCAGTGATTTTGACCATAAACATGATGAAATCATACAGAAAACTATTGTATAAGCCTGGATTCTCTGCCTTTATATTAAATTATTATTAGTATTTACTTGTCACAACGACAAGGGAGGCAGTGCCTCCCCTGCCTCCTCTCGCTACACATCACTGGCTGTGGGCCGGCGGTGGCGCTAATTCACCACCTCGTAGCTGTCAGCCACAGACCAGAAAAAGACACTTACCTCGTCCAATCATATTCACAAAGCGTTAGTAATTCTAGCTGCTAGCCTGCCACGGAGCAGGTTTGTTCTCCGTGGCTACCATGGTGAATGGGAGAGCTTTCAGGCTAGCCACGTTTGTAAAACCGGTTTAGGGTTACACCGGGAATCTCACAAGAAAGCCTGGTTTTGGGAAAATCTTGCTTTCTGGAAGACCCTCCAGGAATGTTGTGACAGTGTGATGTAGACCTGTCAGGATTTTCTAATCCTAGAGTTTCACCATCCATTTTCTATCAGAAGCTAGCAGGAGAGAGGTGTAGGAGACTATTTTCATGTTCAGCCTGCATGAAAATCTCAGAGTTACTGATTATAATCAGAAATAATCATTAAAAATGGTTTTTCAGTGAATTTGACTTTTACAGTTGTATAAAGAGCCAAGGCTTCTCACTTACATTTATTCCTTTATGTTATAAATTCATTTTAAATTACTACCCTTCAATTTAAAACTTTTATATTTTTCAACCAAATGATGCAACCTTTGACTCATCTGAAGTAGTCCGTTAAAAAATATTTTGTAGAATAAAATCAATTAAAGCAATATAGAAACGAGTACAGAGAACCAGGCCAACATTAGACTTTGTTCTGGCCCTGCTCCAGGTTTCCTATAGAGGTTCTCTGCTGTGATTCTCTGTATGAACAGTAGTCCAGAACTCATTATTCTGGACATTACATCTCACAGGAGCCCGTGATCGCTTTAATGGACCTTTTCCATCAGTAATTTCTCAGCTCATTCACCTTTTCCCTCTATTTACCGTCTCCTCTCCTCTACTGTAAATCTGTTACTGTTCATCTGATTTTATTTTATTTTAGGAACACAATGAATAAACATTTAGAGGGAAAGAGACACCAGTCGTCGTGTCCGTTATCCGTACATGTTTTTACATGCTTCTGGTCAGACGTGTTGTTTGTCCCATAGGTCCTTCTGTGGAGGACCAACTTTGATCGCAAACCCTATCAGGATGTTCTACAACAACACAGCCAGAGGTCCACCCCCGATCCTCCACCACACCTGTCTGACATTCATCCCAGAGCCCCCCACCTCCACCACCCACAGCCTGCAGCCATTCAGGTCACCTGAACAAAACATGTTTTAAATCTAAATGCAAACCCTTATTGTGTTTTTAGGTGATCACAGTTCTCTGGTAGTGGTGCCATATATTTAATTCAAACTAGATAAAGCTGGCTTAATTGGTCGTGATCTGGTAATGAGTTAGCTTTTATGTAAAGTTGTTTATATTTAATTTTGAAGAAGAATTAAAGGTAGAATATGGTACATTCTAAATAAAAAGCTATATTTTTAAACTAAAAAACCTCCACGGGCCATTTAGAGGTGTGCAGAATCCATGTACAGTTTTGCCTTTAAAAGCAATATATATTTAAAAAAAAATCTAATTATCAAATTTTTATTTTGTCGGGCACAACACTGGGTTTATGTCTACATCTACCAGCCACTAGAGGGCACCGTTGAGCTAAGAAGTCTGCTTGGCAAGGCGAGGCTGGATTTGTGTAAAATGGCGAACTCGACATGTCAAGCAGCGGATTCTGTGCCCAGAAGATGTTCTAACAGTAAATACTGTTGTAAAATAAACGTTAGTCGAAATTAGTTCTTACCCTGTAAAATTCTCACTGGACATGGTGCTGGCTGGTCACTTAACGGTCAACAGTGAACCAACACCCCGATGGCTGGAAAACGATTTCTGTTGTTGCAGCTACCACCTCTAAACACTAGATGTCGCTAGGGTGTCTGTGTTCCATATTCAACCTTGTTTTTGAAGGGATCCATTACAAATGATAAGAAAAAGAGAATTGCAAGACAGCTGAGCAGTTTCCAGAAGAAGCAACACATTCTCACTCCCAGCGCGTAAAAAACAAATGCTTGGTCAGCCACCCTCCGCATCAGACCCCTGACGTCAAAAGTGCCCTTTTTCATTACTTATGTGTGAAAAGGGTGTTTTCCCTTTTCTGACTGCCGATCCCAGTGCAGCGTAAAACTGACGCGATGGGATGATGCGGCACCGAACCAGCTCATTTAACCGCACCTAAACCTTCGTAAAACAGACACATAAGCAATTATTACAGTTTCTCCTCCAGATGTTAAACTTAAAGGCAAGAACAGATGTCCTAAAGATGTACTAGGCAATAAATCGAAAATTTATTGTTATCGAAATTTGACTCTTATCGTGATAATTTTCCCCACATCAATAAATCTGATAATAAAAAATGAAAAGATGTGTGTAGGTTGGCAGCATTCATGTCCCTGTAAGAAGCTGTACCATCTTGTCACGTTAAAATGTGACTCAACGTAAGACATGTGACAGACCCATCTAGTGGACAACTTTTGTTTCTGCGCATACCTGTAGTTATTGTCCATTTATAGTTATCGAGGTGAACTCCTCAATATAACATGATATTGATTTTAGGCCATACGGCCCAGTCCTAGTACAGAGTATTACAGTGTCTATGATTACAATGTTATTTAACTGATATTATAGCACCAATATTTACAGGAAGATGGTTCTAATCTAATGGAGCTTAAAGACACGTTTTCTGATTTAATTTTACATTTAAGAACAACAACAGAGTTTGATCAGCTGTAAGTTGTAATCAGACCTAAAGAAATGTTGTTTTTGTTTCCCTCACAGATCAGTCCAGCTGTGGCAGACACCCAGTCCACTGACCCGCATGTCATAGATCTGGGTCCAGCAGCTCCTCACATCAAGGTAAGCTGATAAGAAAAGTCAGATTTTATTTCAGTAACTCTTCACAAACAGCAAAAGCTGCAAACGCTAAACAAACACACACAGGGTGATGATGGGAATGATGGTGAAAAGTAATGACATCTAAACACAAATGCTAAATCCACATAAAAAAACTATGTAAAGAGTTGTACAGATTGGATTCCGGGTCTCTGCGTGGTATTGCAGCATTTGATGGTTAGACCTTCGTGTTCCAGATGAGGGACAACTTCAAACTGGAGATGTAATAGAACCAAACCAGTAACCATTTTAAACACCAGGGGGCAGTACAGACTAGAGTTCAGTCCCAACTACAGCTCCAGGAAACTCGCATACACATGGTTGTTGTTGTTTCTTATTTGGTCTTTGGAGAATTTGACCAAATCTTGATGCTGTACTTTCACAGATTCATACACACCAAGGTTTCTGATGTAAACATAATTTTATTTGAAGTTTTAGTTGGTTTATAACTAATGTTTTGTTTTCCATCAAACTTAGATCTACTTTAATCATCATGAAAATTATTTTAATCTCGTGTTAGAATTTCAAACTGAGGAATTTATTTACATTAATATACATACTTTTTGTTACAACTGCATTACCACAAATGTTACGCTCCGTAACTACAATGATGTTTATCATGATGCTGAAGGTCAGTCTGGAGCTGCAGGTCACAGACCCAACCTTGACCTAGAGGTCTTACTGTGTTCCAAGATGAATTACTTGATGTGAGTTAGTCTTATCTGCTTACTTTACGTGTGTTGATCCTGGATAACATTTGGGAACAAGACACGGGTGTTATTATGTCAAAATGTACAGATTCATTGAGTATTCATTTAGTTATCCAGGTAAATCCTGTCTGTTTATGTATCCATCTTTTTATATTTTATATATATATATATATATATATATATATATATATATATATAATATATGTATGTATGTATGTATGTATGTATGTATGTATATATATATATATATATATATATATATATATATATATATACATACATACATATACATATATGTATGTATGTATGTATGTATGTATGTATATATATATATATATATATATATATATATATATATATGTATATATATGTATGTATATATATATATATATTTTTTTTTTTATTTATTTATTTATTTATTTATAGGTATGTATGTAAAAAAAAGTAATACATAAATAAATATATACATAAAGAAAAAACATCCAATGAAGTTACAACAGCGACGTATGAACAAGCAACTTGAACTTGCCGAGCGCCAGTCGATAGAATTATACCGCAGGTAATTTCGTTTGCATACACAAACTACCAGGTGGATCACAAAAGGCAAACTACAGTTTGCAAAACATGTGCATCAAAAATTACAGATGGAGAGGGAACAACATCAAACTTCTTTCAACATCTGAAGTTACATAAAGAAAGGTAAGTGAAGGCTGACACACTTGTGTGTAGTTAGTGTATAGCTAAATAAGTTTTATAGCTTGCTAGCTAAATTATGGAGGCTGAACGCTAATTTACACATGACCAACATTGCAAAATCACTCGGAAATGTTAACCTGAACCATACACTGATGTCACTCCCGTAATTATCCCATAAAATCAACTTTGATCTTTTGAATGGCATGAATATGCAAATGGATTAGATATATGTGCGTGTACAAACATGATTTAAGGACTTATTGTAAAGGAAGGTTGGACTGTTGCAGTAGATTAATGTGAAGAGCAGAAATAAAATGTAAATATTTTGTATTGAAAGAATTACATGGTGACAAAATCAATTTTTAATGAAAAAGAGAAAACATTAAATGTTTTTCTTTTATCTAAAGTTTTAATAATGTCTAAATACATTGAAATGCAGCAAATCTTTTAACTGTCTAAGGTCTAACCATAAAATATTTTAAAGTTAAAGTTAAATGCATTTTCCAGATCAATTGGATTCATAAAGTAAATTATTACTAATGCCTAGTAGTTGAGTAAATTACAATTTTTCTTCATTAAATTTAATACAGTAAAAATAGAAAGCGACATATTGAGACAACAACAAATTCAATGATCTAATTTCAACAGTTACAAAATCAGGGCCTGGAACTCACAGCTGGATTGCGTATTATATAAACGATTCTTGCAAATTTGGTTTTTTTAAATCCCCGCATACAGCGAACATGAACGTGCGACTTATATATGTTATATATGTTTTTTTCTTCTTCCTTATACATTTTATGGCTGGTGTGACTTATACTCCAGAGCGACTTATATTCTGGAAAATACGGTATATAGTTGAGATCATTTTTCATGCCAAGTCAGCAGAAAGTCTTGATATGAAAATTTAGATAAAAAAACATCTGACAAAAGAAGAGATTAAAAAACAGAAGGCTGAGAAAGGAGAGGATGGAGACAAGAAATAAAGCACAAAAAGATTTAAGATGCAATCCTGGGAGTTGGACAACAAATTCCTGCAATGTAAATAGTTTAGAAAATATCTAATTCCAGTTTAGCAAAGACAGCTCATGTGAGTATGTATGACATACAGTATTTTTTACATGATTTTTACATTTCAACAAAGTTCTTCCTATGGAGAAAGATGCTGTGTAAGAGACAACTAAAGGAAATACTGGAGTATGGAGACAAAAGAAAAGAGATACGGATAGCTGTGATGACCACTAGAAAAGATTTAAAAAAGTTAATAAATTCAGCAATCTGAGGTAAGAATAGCAATGTTAAGGTCATCATTAATCTCACAAGTAGTTCCTAAAAATTGTATTTGCTTACAGAGATCATAAAAAGAAAGGTTAGACCGAGAGCAACAATTACAACGCAGGAGACAAGTGAAAGCTGCATATTAACCTGAGGTATGATTAGCACAACATGAGACCTGCAGTCATGTTCAAATCCTCACAATACGTGAGGTCTGACCGGCGTCCTCCCCCACAATCGAAGCCAACTCACCACCAAGTAATGGTCAGTTGACAGCTCTGCCCCACTTTTTACCCGAGTTCAAGACATGTGGCCGCAGATCAGATGAGACAAGAGCAAACAAAGTCTATCATCGAGCTGCGATCTAAGGTATCCCGGTGCCAAGAGCACATATGGACACCTATATGTCTGAACATGGTGTTCATTATAGACAATCCATGATGAGCACAGAAGTCTCAACAGTGCTCAAATTCAGATCAGGGGGGCCTTTCCTCCCCATCACATCTCTCCAGGTCTTACTGTTGTTGCCCACATAAGCGTTTAATTCCCCCAGCAGAACGAGGATGCAGCACTCACCAGTGCCTCTTCCAAGGACTCCAAAAAGGGTAGGTGGTCTGAACTGTAGTTTGGATCATTATCACAGACAACTGTCATGACCCATCCCTGCACACATAGATGGAGGGAGGCTACCTTCTCTTTTAAAGTCAAAGTCTCATAGTCATCACCACACACTGGTGAATTTCATCTCTGCATTTGACCCATCCCCATGGAGGGGAGCAGTGAGCTGCAGTTGTGGCTGTGCTTGTGAACTATTTGATGGTTTAACCCCCCCAATCCAACCCCTTAAAGCTGAGTGTCAAGCAGGGAGGCATTGGGTCCTATTTTTAAAATCTTTGGTATGCTCCAACCGGGAATCGAACCCTGATCTCCCAGTCTCAGGGTAGACACTCTACCACTAGGTCACTGAGCTGGTAAACCAGTCAGAGCCATGCATCGAGGTGAGACCGACTATACCTAGTCAGAACTTTCACCCTCGCACACCAACTCAGGCTCCTTCCCCACCAGAGAGTTGACATTCCACCTACCGAGAGCCAGCTTCTGTAGCCAAGCGTCAGACCACCAAGGTCCCCCCCTTCGACCACCACCCATCATACATTGCACCCAACACCTTTTGGTCCTGGTGATCCTTGTCCGGGCGACAAAACACTGTTTCCATTTGAGGTAATCATCATAAGTGGTTGCTCATGCTTTAATAATCTGGTTAGTTTTTGTATGTTTTGTATGCTAAGGTATGCTTTTAAAAACAAAAGTTCTCACAGTGACTGTTGTGTATTATACTTTTGTCTACAAACCTGTGTTTGCCTCCTGTGGGAGGAAAGTGGTGAATGGATTGAGCCAAGTGGAAGTCATTTAAAATGAGGACAGCCAAGTCAGATAAGTGGTTTTGGTTCTGGTCTCCGGACATAAATCAGGAGCTCATGACTCGTTGTGATACGATGTCCACATGGAACATCTGTGGTGTTGTGAAGCATGTTTCTACACTTTTAATGTACTGTTGGTTAGTTGGGAAATGTCTTTTACACCAAGAGAATTGTCTTGTAACAGTTTTTGTCCCTTTTTCTGTCTCCTCTGAGATTGCATGTCTGAACTGGAGGTGGGAGGGGGTTTTAACATCAAAGGGATGGGGTGAGAAAGCAGGAATCCACGTGCCATTTCCAGGGCCCCTAGGGGCCCTGACCAGAGAAATCTAATAATAGCTGAGCTGGAGCACAGCCTGCTTGTCTAACCTACTGTGTCAGCTGCACTTGGTGCATAAACATAATCTCTGTTCTTGCTAAAAATAGCAAGAAATGGTTGGTCCCTCACATGCACACTGAACCCACTGTCAGTTCTTCACCCAGCCTCCACATTTGAGACAAACGGACATCAGTTCATGTGTCCCAGCTGCATGTTGTCTCCATGTGTAAATCTACATGCTCCACCTGGGTCAGTCAGTAGCAAGGTGAGCTTGTGAATAAGCTTCTCAGAAGGGGACAAACTGTCATCATGTCTGAGTTCTGTGTGTGTGTTTGAGCATCAGTCATTTTGAATGGGTGTGAATGCGCGTGAGGGTCAGTTGTATTTGGATGGGTTCAGACCGTGGAGCCCCCAGTGCTTCCCCTGTCAGCTCTCATCAGCTGATATGCATCACTCCTCTCCTCCTACACTCTCTAGCTCATCTGTCCCTCAGGTTATTTCATTCCCCTCCCACTGTTGTGCATGTACTTGGAGTACTTTCCCTTCCACTCTGCATCTGTGTTTCCCCTCTAACACCCTAATAGGTTCATGCGTAGGCGGAAACATAAGGGATAAGAGAGCCTGGTAGATAGATGCAGGGGGTGCAAACTGCCTGAGGTGAGTGTGTGGGTGGTTAAATGGGGATGTTCCTGCACTCAGAGGTCCTGCTGCCATTCACAACCTTTGTGTTCTTAAAAAGGACCAAGATGCTTTTGGGGGTTTCCCCTTCAAGTTAAAGCATCAGATAACCTTTTTTGTGTGTGCATGTGAGCATTCTAGAAAGTTCAAAACTCTAAAGTCCACAATTAATTAAAAAACAATTCACATTAGACGCAGTTCATGAAATTTAAACACCTAGTAGCGAATGACAAAATGAGAATGTAGAAACTAAAGCAGTTCCATCATAACTATAATCACCCCTGTTATTTTGTTCTGTATTGATCACATTTATTAGCAGGTTAACTCACTGAGTTGGGACACAAGCTGCCCTTATGGTAAATGGTAAATGGCCTATATTTGTATAGCGACTTCTTAGGGTTCCACAACCACAGACTTGTTTTGCGTTGGGGGGGGGGGGGGGGGGGGGGCAACGCAAAACAAGGCTGCTTTATGTATAGCACATTTCAAACACAGAGGCAATTCAATGTGCAAGGCGCTTCATAACATAATTATACATTCACCCATTCACACACTGGTGGGGATGAGCTACGATGTGGCCACCCCTGTCCTGGGGCGTACTGACAGACGTGAGGCCTGCTGAACGCTGGCAGCAACGATCCCTCTGACCACCAGCAGGCAAGGCAGGTTTATTGTCTTGCCCAAGGACACAACAGCAGCATTCTCTGGTTGGGGCCGGGATCGAACCTGCAACCTCCCAATTACTGAACA